CCGTTCATCACGGCCGTACCAGCCGGGAGGGAAACCATGAGGACCTCGGAAGATGGCCCCTGAACACCCGACGGCACTTTCGCCACCTGCATCTCCTCATTCGCCCCGGAGGCAGGGCATTCATCAACAATGATCACCGGGGGGAATTTCTTCCCGGCATCCCCGGTCTTGGGCTTCTTGCCCTCGGGATCTCTGCCCGAGCCCTTCCTTTTGGCGGCAGCGGCCGCGTCAGCACTTGGGCCCACCGACGGCCCCTCCGGTTTCTTGAAAAAGTCACCGGCGGATTTTGGGACACCAGCGTCCGTCCCCCTCGGGCCCTTGGAGGGTTTTTTCTTCTTCAGGTCTGCAAGGCCTCTGACGTTCATCATTTTCACTGGGACACCTGCAAAAATAGTATGGGGTTAAAATCGAGGGGTTACTGACCGAAGGCACAAGGAATAAAAAAAACAACGAATAAGATAAACTATGTGCTAAGATATGAAAACCGAGGGACCTCGTAGACTACCTCCTGCTCCCCCGAAGGCCTCAGCAAAAATGGGGTACTTCTCGTCCGCTTCCCCAATGAAGCGGTATCTCCGAAAGCCGAGGGCGTAGAGTCCCTTGTCGGCAGTGTAGTCTTTGATGGAGACCTGCTTCGTGCGACCCTCCGGGATTTTGGCTATCACCAGGCCATCTTTCTCGAGGGCGGCGCTTCCAACCTTCGGATGCCGACGGAAGCGATCCCGAAGTTCCGCCGGAAATGGGTTCTCAGCAACCCTGACATAGCATCAGCGCTCCTTCCAGCCCTTATTGGACGAAGGCGCCTCCGTAAATAGCTTCCACCTGGCCACCTGCTGCAGGTTGGCGAAGCCCTCGGCATTCGCGTGACCCCCTCGACAGAGGTTGAAGCTCTGGAAGAACAAGTCCAGGCTGGGGGTCACCCCTCGGTCCCTACAGAGGTTTAAAAAACCCGCCACATAGGAGTGGCTATTAGGTGTCAGCTGGCAGGGTACCAAGCCAACAAACCTCAGGTACTCCCGGAGGAAGGGGTGCAGAGGGAACCGAAGGCCCATGGAGACCGACAGTACGTGTACTGCAATACACCCCTCGGGCGCCCGAGAGAGCACGTCGTCAACTCCCGGCTCGACCACCACGGCCGAGGGCCCTACATGTAGCTGCGTGACGTAAAGGTCCGCCCTGTCCGCCTTCGACTTTATCTCCAAGGCAGCCGTGTTGAGCCAGGAATACCCCTCCGGCATATCTACGGGTTTCCCCTGATCAGCAGCAATGACCTTCTTCTTGGGGGCAGCTGCCTTGGCCTTCTTCTTCCCGGGGGCCACCCGGATGGGAACTGCATTCAACGGCTGGGAAGTACTGGCCTCACCAGCACCCTGAGGGGGAAGGACGGCCACAGTAACCTTCGCCCTCTGCTTTTCCTCTTCCTCCTCAGCAACTTGGACGGCGAGGGCCAACTCCTCATCTTCGACGGTCCGCTCGAATTCCTCTGCCTCGGCCTCGGCCATCAGATCCTTCTGCACCTCAGTGGCGAGGGCTGCATCACCACCATCCGAGGGCTGACCGCTACTGGACTCCACGTCGGAGATGCCTTCGTCCTCCATCGAGGGCGTTCTCGAGATGTCCTGGGAATCGCTCTCGGACGACATTTTTATCACGAAGTGTACCTAAGATTTCGAAGGCTTTCTACAGGACTAACCCTAATCTAAGGCCAGAGGGTGGAACTTACTAAAAGTTTGGAGAGGAAAGCGGGCACTGACCTTGAAAGCAGAGTTTTGACCGAAGGCTGGAGTTTCTCTCACTAGAATTTTTTGCAGAGCTTCGCTAGGACAACTGATCGCACAAGAGGAAATGGCTCTGGCCTTGGGGTATTTATAGGCGCTGGAATCCGGGCTTGGGCCTGGATTCCGGGCCTCCGGATGGACGCCATCATTACACACCGCGTCTTCGCCCAAATAGTGATGCCGCCCGCGGATAGCCAACCATCACACGCCACGTGTACCCCCCCCAACGGCTATAAACCTGACGTTACATATTCCAACGGCTATATTTCCAACGGCTACATTCTGGAAGCCCCCGGGTTTTCTACTTCACTCCACTTCATCAAGGAGAGCCTCCGGGTACACTTACCCAGAAGCGCCCCCGGGTTGTGCCCCACACAGCACATAACAGACGCCTTCGGTATCTCTCCTTCAGAAACCCAGGGCTTCATATCAGGGCACCCCTCGGGGATTCCCCCTCAGCACTGCAAAACCGGGTAGCCCCCGGGGAGTTGCCTCATTGACGGATAACCCATGGCACACAGGTAATGGGAGCCCTCGGGTATCTTCATCACCAACTAATCAACAAACAGTGGACCCCCCGGTAACAACTCCACTGCTGCCCTCATCCAGCAGGCCCTCGATCCCCGGATTGAGGGGCTCTCCTTCGGCACCCCCAGGACATCAACAGCAAGCCTTCGGCTAATCAACACATGAGCCCTAAGAAAAAGAAGAGCCTCCGACATTACCGTTATTCTCCATTTTTGACCAAGGTTTAACATTTTTGATTCATCATTGGGGGAATTCGGTGCACTCTTTTTCCCTCATTAGGATTTTTTCCCACAGGGTTTTTCCTAATGGGGTTTTTAACGAGGCATCCCCCCAAAATGAAATGAAAAGCGTCAGCCTTCGGCCCACAACAGCAACACAACTACTCTACTCCTTTTCACCACTTTACAAGTGCCTCAAGGAGTGGGGGACTGGAGGACCCCCTCGGGAAAATCATTAAATTACAAAATTAGTGAAATTCTAACAAACGACAAAGCAAGCCCTCAAGTCCCGACATGTGGGTAACTGAGGGACTGCCTTCGGCAGGGACATAAAAGCAACAACTCCTCACCAACTTCAGAAATCACGACAGGACAACATCAAAGGGCAAGTACAAATTACTCCTTTTCCCTCAAATACCTTTCGGCAAAAGGAGTGAGGGACTCCTGATGGAGTATATGGCCCGGGAACACCCGGCCCACAGACTCCTACTACTCCTTTAGAGGCCCAACAGGCCCAGAAGGCCCAACAGGCCCAAATCACGGCGCCCAGAGTACCAAACAGCCCACAGTACGCACCAGGGGTGCCTTCGGCCCCCTGGCCGAAGGCTCCAAACTATCACAGCATGGGTGTTTCGAACAAACAGAGAAACTGGGAGAAAATGGCGAAACCAGTAGCCCTCGGCACTGTGAGCCCTCGGCACCAGGGTGCCATCGGTTTGAGGAGCCCTCGGCTTCTGCTCTATAGTCGAAGGCATCTCACTCGACAAGATATCCGCCTCACATGCGTACAGATCACTGTACCCTGCACAGACGTCCCATCCAACAGCCGCATTAAATGCGGCCACATGCGGCTGCCAGCGCCAACCAGTTGAGGTGACCCCCCGGCCAATGGGCGCTTGACACGTGTCCCTGTCCGGAATTTATTGCTACTATAAATAGCACCCCATTTCCCCATTTGTAACCACGCTGAAAACGCTCCACATTTATAATACACTCTCTCTCTCTCTACATTTACTTGCTCTGACTTCTCTCTAAGTTATTCCCAGCAATAACCCTTCGGATATATACCCCCGGGTAGACTATCCATCAAGTGTTTTTATAAGAAAAAATATTTTACACAAAATTTATACATAAATACTTACATTTTTCAAACTTTTAAGTGCTCATGTGAAACTTTTGACTTAAAGTGGCTCTGCCACTGCAACAAGGGGAAAAGGGCCAAAATGGACACTGAGGTTTTTAATGAAGTGCGTATTGGACATTAAGGTTTTTTTGAGATCAAATAAACACCAAATTAAACTTTTCAGACCTCATCGCCCATCCCCTAACATTTCCCGTTAACGGCTTCTCTTCCCCGTTATCACCCAGGTCCTGCGATTAGAAACTCCCAAATATACAACAACCCTAATTGATATATACCTAATAAATACAATCTCAAACAGATTAAGAAGAAGAAAGCAGTGATGTCGGCTACTCCTTCAGCATCGAGGTCGTCTGAGGCACGGAAATCCGAGTTCGGTGATTCAGTGAAGCTTCGAAGCATCTATGAGCGACCGTATTTTGGGCGTTCTAGGTTTTGCAGATGCATGAATGCAAATGGAACTCACGTCAAGGCGCCACTTTGGACTTCATGGACTGACAAGAATCCAGGGAGAAGATTTCATGGATGTCCTAATTATGAGGTATGCTTTTAATTGTTCTTTTCACATAATTTATTTATATTCATATTGATATGCATACTCTTGTGTATACTCAGAAGGATGGATGTGGCTTCTTTGAATGGCATGATGAGCCATTAATGGACAGAGCAAGACATGTTATCAATGAGCTCAAACGGGAGAATAGGAGGCTGCAATCTGCAATGTTTGAATTGGAATGTGATAGTGTTGCTCAAAAGTTGGAGAGTGAAGTTGAAGAAGTCAAAAGTAGGAATGATGCAGCCCATCTGGAATTGGAAAGCAAAACTAAAATGAAGAAGAATTATGTTATTGTAGTGTTGTTATGTGTTCTTATTGTAGTATTATGCGTGTTAGAATGTTAGTTTCAGTTTCTTGTAAAATTGTTTGGTTATGACCTTGTAAACAGTTTGAATTTGAATACATGTTGCTGTTAGAATTTGAACTACTGAATTTGAATTTAAGGTAACACTTTGGTTTGGTTTTTAATATGAAAATATATGTTGCTGTTAGAATTTTTTATTAAGTTGGTCTAGTTGTATTACTATGTTTGAGAGCAGTGTACTGATAACACCACAAATAAAATAGTGTATCGATAACACCAGTTTGAGAGCAGTTTGAAATCAGAGCCAAACTGAAATATCAACACCAGATTGGTTAATATCATAACCACAATACAATCTGTAGAAGAAAGCCCTCATGCCAGAGTAATACATGAATAAACAACATATATAAACAAAAAAAGAACTTATATCATAACTTCACATCATTAGGGATCATAATACTGATTGTTAATAAGGTTACAAAATACAAAAAAAAGCATTGTAAGCCCTAATTTAGCACCCCAAAATTGGAGTCAGTTCCTTATAGTGCCAGAAGTAGTAAAACTTCATACAAAACACCTAAGCTTCCAGTGAGTCTTCATACGACTACATTGCAAAAAAGCTCATAAGCTAATAAATACAAAGTGCCCAAAAGTGTTCTAATGAAACATATGAGTCTTCATTCATCCAGATTTGCAGTCTTGCTTCAACATGTTCACTTTGGAATGGAACCCGGCCTCCTGATCTGCATCTTCTGTAACAACTGCCTAGAGCTAATTGATGCATTCCCTTTCCATTGCAAACCAGGTGGTTGAAAAGGTAGGTTTGCTGGATTAAGCACCTCTGTACCATCACCCTTGAAAGGTATTGTTCTATATGTTGGCACATCCAACTGCTTCTCAGCTCGGGCAGCCCCTCTGATATCTTTTTCATTTGGGATTGCAAATCTGACTGTAACATCAGGGTCATGTGGCATTTGAGGCTGGAAATCTGAAACTATTTCCTCACTTCTCATCCCAGGCTACAAGCATAAACAATTACATGAAGGTAAAATTAGAAATAAGAAAACTTATTTCAATACATCAACAAACTAAAACACTTACATAACACTGGAAACCTATTGATACTCACATTTAAAGTCTTCTTCCCGATGTTCACATCCACATAGCACCCAAAGCCTGTTACAAATTGTTTACTTATATTCCTTGTTATTCTTCTACATGTCACTTTAGACTTACCAGTACTCCTTTTAGCATTAGTGTGTGGATTTGTTGGTGGAGCTGATTCGATGAAAAAGCAACACTAGCAGGTCTCTTCACAGGTATAGGTCCATTCCCTTCTGCTCCTTCAACACTTGCCTAAGAAAAAGATAAAAAAAACTCATGAAAACACAATAAATCAATATTGCAGTTTACACCTTCAAAGTCATGTACTACTTACATCTTTATCTTTATTAGGACATGTAGCTCTCTTATGGACCTCCTTATGGCATATCCCACAACTTTGCAGTCTCCCTTTTCTTGATGATGTCTAAGGTGTATCACTGGCAGATGTAGAAGCACTTCCAGATCCTTTGACCTCAGTAGATGATCTAACTCTGTTCTTCTTTGGTCTGCCAGGTAGGTTTGGCACTGGGGGAGATAAAATGGGTTCATAATGATCAACCTTCATGAAAGCTTTTCCAGGTACCGGTTGCAAAGCGTTTGCATATGCTGCCATATAAGTCTCCTTATGATACCATCTTGAAATGTAGGTGATAGGATCTACCTTCCTGTTATAGAAAGCACATATGGTATGTAAGCATGGTATTCCAGTTAGTTCCTGACGTGCACTCGTCGTTAGGTGCACTCAAAATAAATAATCAATACAACACTAATACGTAGTATAGTGTAGTAAGGTTCGTATCCACAGGGAAAGGAATACTTTTCTTTTATAAAAGTAGTAACAAGGGGGTTTAGATTTGTTTGTTTTAACAACACTAAGATAAACAACCTATATGAGTTTAATTCAATGAGATGAAGACTTGGTTTTGCTTTTATCCACTTAATGAAATGTTCGTCGATCCCGGTTATATCTTTAACTATCTTCCTCTCGAATACTCAATCGAGGAGTATATCCAGTTCATCGAGGGTAGTTATTAATAACGAGATGCGTTCATTAATAAAACTTACTATCGAGTCAATATAGAACAAGCGCCGTATATTAACTTGATAGTAGCAATAAACTTAAGATGAAAACGATTGAGATTGATAACCTCAACACAAGCAGTTTATTGGTTTAATCAATATAATTAATTCCCCTTGGCATATTAACCATGAGATGCATGCATTAATATTCCAAGTTTACTACCGTTGAAATAACCGGATTAATAACAAGCGTATTAACCGATCGATTCTAGTAATAATTAATATGAGAAACAATACTAGTTGATACTTTAAGTAATGTTTAAGATATTAACATGAAATATGAATAGGAATTAATCAATACTCAAGGAAGAATATTAAAATATATGAATCCTACTATGATTAATATCAAGATGTTAACTAATTGTCATCTTAGTAACACTCCCCAATATTATCTTAGAGGAAGAAATAGCTATTACTATCACCAATGTCAAGATGTTAACTAATTGTCATCTTAGTAACACTCCCCAACTTTGATATAGAGATAGTATTTTGAAAGAAAGAATTAATATTCAAGGAAGAAGATTAAAGAAAATAACTCACAACTTACAAATTCATTAAACTTCAAAGTAGCAAAACCAAGATGGAAGAGTTTAGCTCCTCATTTGGAGACTAAACATGATGAAAAATATAAAGAAAGAACTATTCTATACTGAGCTTAGATGTACAAGGGATTGGATATCTTTTTGTGAAGGAAAGGAGGTGTATTTATAGGTTTTTGGGATGGGTTTCGGGTACTCGATCGGGTATATACATGGTACCCGATCGAGTACGTGTGTAACACTCGATCCGAGGCATACTCGACCGGTTTCAGGCTATTTTCTAAGTGTATACCCGATCGAGTATATATGAGTACCCGGTCGAGTATGCTTAGAAAGTGGTATTCGGGCTATACTCGACCGATCTTCGTTTGCAATTCAAAGGCATACCCGATCGGGTATGTCGGTCTACCCGATCGGGTATAGACATAAAATCGTGGCCAAAATCTTCCTTGCATGTTCCCTTGTCTTCGGATCTGATCCGATTTGAAGTTCCAACCTAATACCCGATCGAGTATAGCTAATACTCGACCGAGTATAGGCTAAAAATCAGGATCTTCTTTTGTCTTTGAACTTTTGCACCTTCTTTTCACTTTTTGGGTTCATCAACTGTACTTCGAGTGACCAAAACCTGCTTGAGCTCAGAATATATCTAATCTAACCTATTTACAAGAATTTAACAATCTAATCTATTTACACCAAAAGTGTGTAATTTCCAAAGTAAAAGTCAAGCAAAACTAATTAAAAACATAAACATAGATATGGAAATTACGAACGTATCAGTTCCCATTCTCTACAAGTTCAGACCATCTTATCCAACACAACTGTGTGCTTATTTGTCCCCTCTCCAATCTCAAACCCCACATCCCCATTAAATATAACATTGCAGCCACTAGCAGCCTCCTTATTGTCTTGATAGTACTCCATGCATGGTTACAATAGGTTTTCATTGCCTAAAATTCTGAAATTTGTCTTAAACTCTGAAACTCTTTTCATTGCCTTCAATCGTATATCTTCCAGCATGGTTACAATAGGTTTTGACCTAGCTTCCCGGATCCATGAATTGAAGGACTCTGTGATGTTATTATCAACCATCCAACATGAACACCTATTACTAAAGTATGCTCTACACGAAGTTTGAACTGGATACTTCAAAAGGTCAGAAGCAGCTTCAGTGCTCAATTTTCCAAGCTTTTTAAGATTCAGCTACAGCTCTTCTTCATATGTGCTCCAGGAACATATCCAAAACTTTTTGCAAAACTCATTGCCTCTCCACTTTTTTGACCAATTAGCATACACATGTCGGGCACAGAACCTATGCTCTACATCTGGTATGACCAGGGGCGGATCCAGGAATGCAGATTGGGGTGGGTTAAGCAGTAAAAAAAATTGTTACTGCGCACAAAAGGTTTAGCTTAAGGTTGTTATCAAACAGAGCCTTTTTTAAAGTATTCGAGTTCGTACGTGATTTCGAATTTAATTTAACAGCCTGAGCTTAACGAGCTCGAGCGTAGTGATATTCGGTTCGGTTCGAACTCGAGCCTAACGATAACTCACATATTACAGGAATAAAATTTATATATCTTAATATTTAAATGTTTTAGTGCAATTTTATAATTTTTGTAATGATTATTAAAGATCCTGGTATTTATTGGTATGAATTAAAGTACTTCTATAAAGGTATAAAACTAATAAGTAAAAACAATCGACGTCATATAATTATTAAGTATTCCTAGTTTCAAAATTGAATTGAGATTTTTAATTTTTTCTTATATTTCCAAAGAATAAATAAATCTAGAGCTTTTAGGTAGTATATAAATGTAATATTAGATAAAAACATGGAAAAAATTACACTGTGCAATTTTATAACAAAAGTATATATATATATATATATATATATATATATATATATATATATATATATATCTACAGTTCTAAAAATTACAAAATAGTAGTTCCTATAGAATAATATGATTTTAAGGAAAGAATTGCTTGCCCTAGTGGGTGCCTTGAGCTTATATTTATAATAAATAATGTTTAAAGAATTACAAAATAATCCCCTCAATTTACATTATTAGTTCTAACTACGCTTGTTGCAAAAACTAGAACTAGATAAGTAACTGGACAATGAAATAAGCATAATAATAATTAAAAAATTATATGACTAAACAAGGGTAGTGGATAAAAAGTTACTTAGTTATTAAAATAATTAAATATGTCTAATTTTTACAATTAGAGTGATCTAAAAATGTACTCATAGTGACATTAGTCAAAAAAGATCCTTATTCTTATGCTAGTACTCGTAATATTTTAGAAAAAAACTCATGATAATAATAGTAGTATTACTATATTAATAATAGTAATATAATGTAATAATATAATAACAATCGTCAAGTTAATGTTAGCATAATCATTTTGTAAATTAATGTTGTAAAGGATGTTGTGGGAAACTTCAAAGGGGTACATTGATGGTGTGGGGTAACTGGGTGAGATAGGTTTGCACCTAGCACTAGCAAATACGAGTATTGTGCTCCGTATGTGAATTTTTATTCTCATTTTTTCTCACACCGGTTGCAAAGGATGTTCATCCTCCTGATTGCCCTATAAAAGAATTGCTCCTCACGCACATTAAACCAATTGCTCAGCTTTATGCACTGGGGGTATGTGAGACTTTTGGCATAAACCTTGAGCTTGAGCTGCATTTTAGGGTGGGTTGCACAACACTTTTAGGGTGGGCTGGATACCAAAGCTTCACCCATATTAATAAAAAAAATGGGTTGGACTGGGCTGGGCTGAAGCCCACCCCTGCCCCTTCATAGATTCGCCCCTGGGTATGACCTCTTGAGCAGCACTAATCAGCCCCTTTTGCATATCAGAAATAAGTGTTAACTCACCGCCAGTATTCAGGTCTAGCTCCTGAACAAGCCAACTCAAAAACCACCTCCAATTAGACTTATTTTCTTTATCAATGGGAGCCCATGCTATAGGGACCATCTGCTCATTTCCATCCAACCCCAGTGCACTCATCAAATTACTCTTACAAACACCCTTTAGAAAGCAACCATCCACACCAATGATTTTTCTACAGCCAGCCAACCAGTTCTGCCTCAAAGCACCAAAGCATACAAACATTTTCTTGAATACTCTCCTCCCTTCAATGCAAAGCAGTAAAGATTAATAGAGTAAATATTTAAATCCATAAACTTCACAGATTAGTTATGGGTTTTGTTCATTTCCTATAACAACAACATCCAAGCCTTAGTCCCAAAAGATATTGTGGCTGGCTAACATGATTCGATACATAATATCACCACCAAAAGGAAAAGTAAGGAAATAAAGATAAAAAAGATAAGCTATTCTAAAAAGATAATATAAAAAGAGATGAATATACATAAAAATGATAAAATAAAAATGATACAAATAATGCTTACATAAATAAGGATAAAAAACAAGGAAAAAAGATGAGGGAAAAAGATGATACGAAATCACTCCTCCACACGAATATCCGCCCTCCACTTAGCTCTCTCTAAAGTCATGCGCTCATCCTACCCCAGAAGAAGCTTATCACTTCGAACTCCCCTAACCCACGTCTGTTTGGGTCTTCCTCTCTCTCTTCTCTGCCTCTTCTCCACACATCTCAACTCGTCTAACATGTGCTTTTGTTCGTTTCCTATATATAAAAAAATACTCCCTCTGTCCCGCAAAGAACTTCCCAGTTTGACTTACACACATATTAAGGAAATAAACTTATCAGGGGGTAAATTTTATTGTTTTGATAATGTTTCGACACTGTTTGGCACTGTTTGGCATTGTTTTGATGTAGATAACTTCCCATTTAGGGAAATGGGAACTTTTTTGGAACTGATAAAAAAGGAAAGCGGGAAATTCTTTGCGGGATGGAGGGAGTACAGGGTTTGGTAATTTATGGAAACGTTCAGCACTATGTCCAATTGTTTTAATGGCACTCTCTTCAGACCTGCTAACCAATGCCACCAAAAGTAATGATTCTATCTGGTTGGGTGGACGGGTCCTTTTGTACAACCGCCTCCGTTTTGAATGATTCTCGATGATTTTTTTGATAATTGTTTTTGAGAATTTTCTTCTTGAAATTTAGATTATTTTTATAAAATTTCAATTTAAAATTGAATCAAGAAATCATTTAGATAATTTATTGAAAACAACCGCGCCAAACTCTATATATAAAAGCATAGTGTTTTACAATAATTCTTTTAAACGACTTTCAGTTTAAATAATAATCTCAAATTGTATGGTCATAATCTAAATTCATGAACAACATGCTAAAAAAGTTTCATTAAAAAATGCCACCGGAACAACCCCAAGTGGCGTCGGCGGGATGGAGGATCATGTCCGGACAGCTGGACAAGATCTTTTTGCATACATGCCATTCTGAGCACCAGCGGCGTACCTAGTGGGGGGCTAATGGTCTGCCCCCCCCCCCCCCCCCCCCCCCCTTTGTCCTTGTTATATTTACCCCAAAATTTAACATATATGTATTTCTTTATACGAAGTAGTTTTTTACACTATTGCCCCTCCTACTCGAAAATCATGTGCCCCGCAGCTGGTGAGCACTTATACCCAAGTAGCTAGCAAGTGCCCAATTTTACTGTAACCAAGTTTAGCTGATAGATCACTTTGTTACGGAGTATTTATTCACTCATATTCGTATAAACACACTTCCGGTCATCTTCCTTGATTAATCATCCTCCATGAATATGTTTTCTGCTTTCCTCCTTGTTTTAGCTCAATTTAATGACATTATAATCGAACTTACAAATAAATTCGAATGAGAGAAATTGGGATTGTGCAAGAACTTAATTAATATAGGAATGGAAAAGTTGTACTATATATTCTGTAGTGCATAGGATAGTATTAAAGTTGTATAAATAAAATGCTAACAATTGCTCTCTTCTAATACTATGAAATCAGAAAAGTGATTGACTACAAAGTTTGAGTGGAGTTCAGAGTAGCAAAATAATAGTATCCATCTCCATTCGTAAAGATAATTGGCCTTATATATCTGACGCATCCATGATTTCTAGTTGCACGTTCACCTAATTGGCGTAGTATGCTTCTTCTACATCGGATTCAGTAATTAGTTGCTAGACTTTTATGAACTGCTGCGGTATTCCTCCACATTCTATTCTTTTTAATCCTTATTCGATAATTTGAATTTTAAACATGTTATTATCCTCTGCTTCATCCAATCGTGTGGGTTGGACTGCTGCGCCTTTATTCGGATTTAGACCGAACATCCTCTTTGTTTGCTCAATCAATTCTTGATCCAACAATTGCCCCCTTTTGAGAAGTTGAAGCGTAGAGGTGCACTTGTCAATCTATTAATCATCAACTTTTCGAAATTTGAAAGAGCCGACTCCTTCAACTTTTCCCATCCTTGGCTATTACGCATATCAACTCGTCATCTGTCTGACGAGACATGTCGTCAACCCGTCACTCGTATAAAGAGATGATTCCTTCAACCCGTCACTTATCTGACGAGACATGTCGTCAATTTCCATGCAAGTAGTTTTGATTGAATTCGTCTCTTCGACTGGAGCGGCGAAGAACGAAGGCTGATCTCCTATCCTCTTCCTCCAAATTTGTGTTGATGATCACAACTAGGCAATGCTGACGAGTTGAAACTTTGTTCCGGTTGATGTCGACACTTTAGTTGGTAAAGGCGATTCCGTACATCTTTGGACAAATGACGAGTTGGGCTCCACAAGTGTGATCCTATCCTGCAAAAACTTTGAATATTGTTTCGTTTATGGTTTAAGTAATATCGTTGACATGAATATTTATGATTTATGTTAATCTCGTTCGTATTGCCTCCTTATGTTTTGGAGCTTTTGTTGTAATGCTCTTGGAGTACATGCTTCTGTTGTGTATTTCTGTAGTTTTGGCTAAAACATTGCGGAGAATCGGGGGTGTTTATACTCATGTTTAGCGTATATGAAAACCCCACTTCTTCCCCAAAGATTGTGTAAGACCCCCGTCAATTGTGTTTTGACGTTTTTGTAAGGTTGTGTTTGATGTATGTCTCGTCCATTGTCAGATCAACTATTCTGGTGCAAAAAGAATTTGCTAACATCGGCCATTGGCTAGAAGCCAACGGTCCTCCGATGCCTTAGTTAGTGATCATTTATAGGTAAAGGAAAGTAATAAATTAAAAATACGTATATGAAACCAAATAAATATCTAACATCTGAACCTATCTATAGTCAGACGATTTCAATCATCTCGTCCAACGATTTCAATCATCTTGTCAGGTCTATCATCAGACGACATGCCCCCTGTTTGACGACTTCAGTCATGTTGTCTGGTCTATCTCGTCATAGGAGTGACAACAATATGTAAAAGAAAATGATAAACTAAAAATGAAATAACTTTTCAGAATCTGTCTATCACCGGACGACATGCCCCCCGTTCGACGACTTCAATCATGTCACCTGATCTATCTTGTCACGGAAGTGACGACTTGTTCCTCAAGTCTCGAATATGGTTTTCCATGCTTGTAATCATGTCTCCTGGGAAATTCTAATCTCCCGTGCTCCCCTTCGTGCTCAATTTGTCTTTGGCGGGGTCGTAAGTCTTCTTCGAGACAGATGAAAGTCAACGTCTTTGCTTGGAAATCTTCGAAGGACCGACAAGGGTATTTCGTCAGTTCGTGGTACAACTCTGAATCTTCATACAACCCTCTTGTGAATGCCTCAATGAAGGTAGAGGCGTCACATTTTGGGATCGACACCTTTTCCTTATTGAATCGGTGTAAATAATCTCTAAAAGATTCATTCTGTCATTGGATTACTCGGTAAAGGTCACTGGTCTGCTTTTCGAGGACCCGGCTGCTTGCGAATTGTTGGTTGAACAGGTTGATGAGTTCTGCGAATGTGTTGATTCCTTCGCTGGGCAGATTGATGAACCACGTCAATGCTGATCCCGTTAATGTTGTCCCAAATGCTCTACACATGCAAGTTTCTCGTTGCTTTGACCTGACTGAAATGACCAACATCTGCTGCTTGTACTATGCAATGTGTTCCAAGGGATCAGAAGTTTCATCGAACAACATCATTGATAAGGCAACGAACTTCCTTGGGAACTGAAGGGAGAGTGTGCGTAACACGGCTGCGAAGTAATATCCAATGGTGGCGGTACTCCAGCAATGCCATTGATTTTTCTTGCATCTCCTTCAGTTATTCTAAGATCACGGACATGGGGTTCGTCGGATCCGACTGCACTTGTCTCATGGTCGGGACATGTGGTGTAACCACTTGGGTCGCCTCCTCTCTAGTTGGTGATGGGATGTCCATGACTTTAGGTTCCTACTGCCTCTGCCTAGAGATGTCGACATAGTCCGTCCTAGGTCTCTATTACGGTCCGCCCTTGATAACAACCGAATTCTCATAGTCTCATCTGGTCTAGTCTTTTTAAGGGGTGTTTGGAATTCTTTCTGTTGTGTTTCTTTTTGTTGCAAAATTAGAATCAAAATCAGTTTTAAGAAATCTGTCTCCCTCAACTTTTTAAAAACTGCTTCTAATAGTAAATTAGATTATCAGAAGTACTTCTGCATTTTCACCCAAACACTCCAAATCTGATTTAACATAATCTTTTTAAATCTAATCTGTTTAGTTTCTCTTTCCGTCAACTTTTTTACTTTAGTTATTATTGAGACGACTACGTCAACTTAATTTGGAGTTCCATTTCCGCGTCCACGGCTTCCTGGAGGACTCAGAATTCAAATTCAACTTACTTATACGCAGCAGTAATCGGCCAAGATCAATAGGACGAGGCTGCTATTTTCATGTCCAAAACACAAGAAGATACATACCTTCTGAGTGAGCACGTTCATGAAGTAGCTAGCAACTGCCCGATTTTACTGTAACTAACTTTTGCTCATAGAACATTACAGAGGTCATCTTCCTTAATCAATCAGGACCTCCATGAATATCCCCTCTGTTCTTCTTCTCCTTCTTCTACTTCCGACGATCTTCAATGGTCTTACCACTTCAGCCCAGACATGTTCCCAGACTGCCGGAAACTTCACAGCCAACAGTGCCTACGCCGCGAACAGAGCTCTCCTCTTCTCTACACTGTCCTCCAACATCAACTCAACCTATGGCTTCTTCATGAACACCACAGTAGGCCGTGGCGCCGACAAAATATACGGAACCGCACTTTGCAGGGCCGATTCAACTCCTGAAACGTGCACCAAATGCGTCAATACTGGAATCAAACAACTCACAGACACTTGCCCCAACCAAATTGAAGGCATCAATTGGGCGTGGGAGAGCTCCTTTCAGTGTGTGGTTAGGTATTCGAACCGTTCCTTTCTCAGAGAATTGGACCTTTCTCCTCCCTCTGTAGTGTATAACACGGGCGAGTTCGAAGCGGGTGAATTGGAAGAGTTTAAGAAGATATGGGGGAGTCACATCTACAGCTTGATTGCCAATGCTTCCAGGGAGACGAGGATCAAGTATGCTTCCGGTGAAGCGAGTTTACCGTCGAGCTTTCGGGAAATATACGCCGCGATGCAGTGCACTCCAGATCTATCTCAGTCTGATTGTGAGTCTTGTTTGAGAGCCGTCGTGGCAGCTTTTCAGGATTGTTGCGGTAAAAACAAAGGAGGAGTTTCCAATAATCCGAATTGCATATTTCGTTGGGATCTGTATTCCTTCTATAATACTTCCTTTACCGTAATCGATCCTCCTCCCCCGCCTACGCCGCCTCCATCTCCGGCGTCTCTACATTCTCCACCGCCCCTCAATACAACCAATTCGGGCAGTATGATCTGGATCTCCTCATCTCCTATCCTGTTTAGATTTAAAATTTATAAAATTAAACGCTAGGGTATACTATTCCACTAATCCGATCCGATTTATTATGGATGTACAGATGGGAAGAGCAGATTTCGGACTGTTTTGTATATTGTAGTGCCAATTGGATTAGCGTCGTTGTTGGTGCTTGTTGGTATCGTCATTTTCAGGCAGAGGAAGCAAAAGTCAGGTGAATTGGTTTCCGAGGAAAACGAGTATAGTGGTGGGGCAGAGTGTCTGCAATTCAACCTTGCCGCCATTAGAGCGGCGACTAACAACTTCTCCAATCACTATAAGCTTGGTCAAGGTGGGTTCGGCCCTGTTTATAAGGTAATTATTGTTCTAACTTTTAACGTTTTAAAGTAGAAAAGGTTAAGTTTATATTATTCCTCCAGCTTGGAATTTTTATTTTTCAGCTTTTAAACCTTTTTATGTATAAATGCTTACAAAGATTTAGCATAAATTTGACAAAATTAATAAAAAAAACCAGTAGCCCACCCATCTCAATTTGTAAATTTAATTACATGATTTAGGGCGTGCTCACAAACGGGGAGGTCATAGCAGTGAAGAGATTGTCCAAAAATTCAAATCAGGGAGAACTTGAATTTAAGAACGAGGTGATTTGCGTGGCAAGACTACAACATCGAAACCTGGTCAGGCTTCTAGGCTTTTGCCTTGAAGGAATAGAAAGGCTTCTCATATATGAGTTCCTTCCCAACTCAAGTCTTGACCATGTGATATTTGGTAAGTGTAGTTTATGAAACATCTTGCTTAAGTGATCGACAAATATATTTTCATTTGAATTTAAAACCTCAAAGGATTGGTTGATTGAGGATGATATTTTCATTTAATATGTGTGTAGATGCAAACAAGCGCAGAAGGTTTGGTTGGGAGACTCGTCATAACATAATTGTGGGAATAGCAAGGGGACTTATTTATCTTCATGAAGATTCTCAACTTCGAATTGTTCATCGTGATCTCAAAGCTAGTAATATTCTTTTGGATGACAATATGAATCCTAAAATATCAGATTTTGGAATGGCAAGGTTATTCGAATCAGACGATCAAACAAGAGATGTCACTCATCGGATCGTCGGCACCTAGTAAGTTCAACGATCTCAATTTTATCCTCTGCTTATGCATTTCCATAAATTTTAGACTGCATTTAGAAGAATTATTGCCCATTATGTTACATGTTTTACAATTTTATCAGCCAACTTTTATCATACACAAGTTTTTTAAAGTTCATTATGCATTCGATAAATAATAAAAAACTAAATTACTAAAATATAGGTGCATCATTTTGTGAATATGCTGGATTGAATGGCTGGCAATTTTAACTGTTTCCATAAAATTTATTCTCTACTTTATTAATCACTCAGTATAAAATACTGCAATGTATGGACTATACCCGTTGGCTATACCTTGTGGCTATTTATCTTTTTAGTGTATCTAGGAAGTGTTTGGAATTGATTTTGCTTTTGTTTCTGCTTCTGTTTCTAAGAGCAATTTGAAGCACTCAAAAGTAATTTTTCACTTTCAGCCAAACACTGCAATATCTGCTTCTGCTCTCTGAAGAAGCAGAAATAATTTTAAGAAGAAGATCCAAACACCCCCTCTTATTATATTTAGTTTCAATTTGTCATAATTGAACTTTATCATATTTGTGTGAATTCAATAAATTAACCCTTTTTACCTACAACTTCAATAACTTTAGAAAATTAGTTGGTTCAACAAATATTAAGGCTACTAAAGAGATCTTGGTAAAGCTTATTTTGTTTAGCCTAGTTGCGAACAAATAATTGGTATAGGAACTCAACATACGTAGTACTTCATAAAACAATTTACCAAACGACGAATTTTATTTGATTAACTCTAATTATGTTTTTTAACCAGAAATACCTCTTATTATATATATGGTCCACAACATACGTAAGTGGTCTAGACGATACTCTACGCGTAGTGTGCTCCTATAGCATATCACAATATCTGGTTTTTAATGCATGAATGAATCATAAAATGCAGTGGCTATATGGCTCCGGAATATGTTATACATGGTCAGTTCTCAAGTAAATCTGATGTTTATAGCTTCGGCGTATTATTGCTTGAAATAATCACCGGTGAAAGGATTAAGAGCTTTCGTGGAGGGGAAGAAGAACAAAGTCTTGTTGACTATGTAAGCTATGCACAAAATTGTGTATTTTACTTTTCAAACTACCATTAAATTAGCTACACGCACGCGCGCACGGGCACATGCACCCACGCGCACACGCACATACACGCACGCAGACGCACACGCGCACGCACAAACACATAGATACATACACAAAAAAAATGCACACACATACATATATCATACACACACATACACACATACATAAGTGATTAATCAAATTTAAAATAATGTACTTTGCAGGCATGGAGCATGTGGAATAAAAGGACACCGTTGGTTCTGATTGATTCCACTATGCCATCGTTTAGTACTTTCACAAGCGATATAATAAGATGTATTCATATTGCGTTACTATGTGTGCAAGAAAATGTGGGAAGTAGACCAACCATGGCTTCGGTGGTTCTAATGCTTAGTAGCAGATCAGTTATTATGTCAAGACCATCAAGACCCGCATATATTATTCACTCCATGACGCAACAACATGCATCATCATCATCATCTTCGTCAAGTGCCCACAATAACTCACACTCTATCTCAACTAGAAGTAGTAGCCATGTTGAAAGAAGTTCTCGGAATGAAGTTTCTATATCAGAGCTAGAACCTCGATAACCCTACACATCTCTCATTGTACTCCGTATAATTTAAATAAATAAATAAAAGATGAAAGGTTCTAATTAAAGACGTGAAACCTGATAATGTAATCATGTCGATGTTAAGCTTTCAGGTGGAGGAGGGTATATTATTTAAACACTATAGAATCTCGACTAAGAGATTTCTTCTATTTTTTTGCATGTTATTCAAAAAGTATTTATTTTAATTTTTAGAAGGTTTTAATACAGATTTTAAAAATGTGAATAATTATGTTTACGTTGTTCCTGTATATACCTAAACCTTTCCGATTCAGTGCTCAGGAAGGTGGGTATTATAGATTATGCTAATGAATTGTGGAGAAAGTTAGACAGTCTGTATACTGATATCTCTTTGCTCAGTAAATTGTTTTTGCTTGAGAAGTTCTTTAGATTTATGTTTTACCTAACTAAAGACATATATGAGAATTTAGATGTGTTTAATAAGATTATTCAGAATATTATGCAAACCAGTGATAAACACATAGATGACTATACACCCATAGTGTTACTTAATGTCATCCCTGACTCTTACAATGACGTGAAATCTGCCATAAAGTATGGTAGAGACGATATTTCATTAGACATAGCCGTTAATGGATTAAGAAGTAAGGAGTTAGACCTTAAACACTCGAGGGGTCGTAACGATCAATCTAAGGACTCAGGTGAAGCGTTGTTTGTGAGGGGTAGGTCTAAGAGTAGGTATACATTAACAACATTCACAGATACAAATCATATTTGTAGGTATACATTAACTCAATGAGGATTTCTTCAATTGTCTATACATACTGACACTACTTGTCGGTAGGTAGGTTTTCGTACCAGCTTTCATACATGTAGTCATCGGTAAACTGAATGAGGGAAAAATATGTACTCTGTACACACAAACATCAGTTGTCAGTACAAACAAACGACGAAGACTAAGTAACATTTATGTGTGTCCATGTCCACAGACACTGAATATGTAAGATGTTTGTGTGTGTCAAAGAAAATACCTCCAACATCTGTGTTTGTCTTTTCCCTGCTATTCCCTTCCCCGTCAAAGCTCTCCTCATCCCGACCGTCAAATATCAGAACTTCGTTGACACCTTGTGTCGCAGGCCCGCCACCCGTCCCACCTAAGTCTTCATCCCCAACGTTGTTTAGACCTCCATCTTCTTCGTTCACAGCTATACCATTTTCGACGTTCAGAGCTTCTTCGTTTCTTCCATTTCCATCGTCCGTCGTAGGTAGGTATCGTCCAAAGCTCCACCGTTTCCGGTCATTTCTCCATCCACCATCAAATTTAATATGCTAGAAAATCATCCATGATATTTGAAAAAAAAAAGAAAATCAGAGAGGAAGTCGAGAGGAAGAGAACGAACAGAGAGGGATGTGGGAGAGAAAGAAACATGCGTCAAGGATGGGGAGGGGAGGGTTGTGCAAGAGGAGGGGTTAAGAAAGTAGTAAAAAAAATGGGCCTTATATATGGTGTACCCCATATATAACCCAAGGTGTACAATAAGACTTTTTGATTTAGCTGATAGATCATTTTGTTACGGAGTATTTATTCACTGATTTTCATATCACTAGTGGAAAAGTAGCGATTAGAGGCGTTTCAAAATGGTCACGTGCGGCGCTTCGAAGCGCCGCTAATTTTTGTGCCGCAGTTGTCATTTAGAGGCGCTTCTTGCACTAGAAGCGCCTCTAATTATTTTAGGCGTACAATAGAGGTACTTTTTTCTTAGAAGCGCCTCTAATTTCAACATTTTAAAAATATATCAAGACGCTTTTTCCCTCAAAAGCGCCTCCAATTGTAACATTTTTTAGTATCTTTTAGTTCGAAATTGCCTATTCTAAATTAAAAACAAAACAATCAACCACAAAATTGTGACAAACAATATCAAATTGTTTATTCAATAATCATTTAAATGGAACAAAACTACTAAAAAATGTTAACTCAATTTCAATGGTACTCGAAATACAATCGAATCTGCTCAAGTTTACATATTTATTACTACATCTAATAATTACACTAGATATTCTTCATGTGGTTGAACTCTTCGTGTGCAAATGGTTCGCTCTTTGGAACTTTAACCTGAAATGTTCATACAAAACAATTATGATGAATACAAAATTATAATGATTTGGTTACAGAATATATTAAATACAACAATATACTACGAATAATCAATAATATTGAAAATCAACTTACAATATCTATCTAATATCAGAATTTCTGTCTTAAAATATCACTTCCAACATATTGTATGTAGCAAATTTAGTAGAAAGAAGCCCGAGTTGTCATTTCTCTATTCATTAGAGCAGCTGCAACACAAAATTTAGTTTTTTCATTATGGATCAGTTCAACAAATAAGTTAATATTTGGTTCTAAATACTTGGTTATACGACCAATGAGGAGAAATAAAAGAACACCACATCCTCACTTATATTGCATGGTGTAGCAACAAAAATATAAAAGTGCTCTTAACCATTGTAAAACATGAAGCCCATTTTACAATTCCAAGACCACGAAGCCAAGAGTGAGAAATAGTGTGTTGTAAACAAATGCTCCTGAAAAGTAAAATACGGAGTACATCTTAATCACCACTTTGAAATGACATGTATATCAAATCTCATAGCACCTTGATAACCGAAACTTAGTTAAACTCCCAGAAGATCATGCATTAGAAAGTTTCAATTATGCAGCCAAGAGTTGCGTGATTTTGAAGTCTAGTTGAATGGATGGAAGAGAAATGCATTTGCAGGAATTGCAGCAAAATCAAGCCATGTTTATTATGAAGTATGTCAAAAAGTAGAGAGCTCAAACATACCGTAGGAAAACCTACCTAATTTGACAATGCAGGCACCTAATTTGACTCTGAAACCTTGGAGTATGAATTCTCAAACTTTAACTCTCAAATGGAGTGTCTTACCAAAGGTGAGAGTAATGAGGTACAAGTTCCTACAAAATGCAATAAAGATATGAGTGATGTTTATTAAAAGGCAATCTTTGCTTTTTCAGAAACATAAATTGTTTGTTGTTTCACAAAAGTTTGCTAGCTAGCCAAGGGAAATTATTTCCAGGAGAATGTAGAAAACAACCAGGGAGAAAAAGAAGCCCAAGTGAAAATAGAAATGAGTAAGTAAAGATTCACGAGGCTGAAAATGGATGTTTTCTTTAATTTCCTTACAATGAAAACCATTTCACAACATCCATTTGAGACAAATAAATAAGTCAAAAACGGCTCACTCTGCAGCACAAGCTAGACAATATAGCCACCAAACAGAGTCTACAAGTTTGGATACAAGCTCTGCCAAAAAGCTTCTAACACTTATGCCGCTATGTGGCTTTAATTTTTTTATCAATTTAGAATCAATCCCTCCTAATATACGCCATAAAAAGAATAAATACGGAAGTATTCTAACCAAGATAATATACCACAAAGTCATCCACTTATATAAATACGGAAGCTTAATTCTAATCAAGTGGTTTTCAGTACTGTTTTTTGCTTGATTTTATCATTGCTATAATCCTATCCTCGTGAATCTTCACTGAGACACTGACAATCGCTTTATTGTGCCTAGCCATGCCACAAATTTTTCCATCGCCTGGTCAACTATGCTCTGTTTGAACTTCCTTTTAATGATTTTTTATTATGAATACACACTAACAGCACGTTAACTACATGAAATATACGGAATAGTTACACATGTTTTTTTCAATCAATAATTGAAAAATGTTCCGAATTTGTAATTTACATAAATCGATATATATATATATACACGACTATGTTATATGTATTCCCCACGTTAATGAATGGATATGAAAATTCAGTTCTTTATTAAAATTTATTTGTCTTTTAGTTGAACTATTCCGAGTATTTCTATTTATATCTACTCCCTCCGTCCCTAAATTATCTTCAAACTTTCTTTTTTCGTCCGTCCCAAAATTATCTCCTCTTCCCCCTTTGACAAAAAATTTGTGGTTCACAACCATTCTTACACATTCTTACACATTTCTCTCTCCTCTGCACAACTCTCCACCACACAAATCCCACTATCTTAATAAATGTGCCCAGCCGAAAGGGAGAAAGATTAGGGACGGAGGGAGTATAATATTGTGATTGAATTAAAATATTGAAGAATTAAATAAAGTGTCCTTTATTGTAATTTGATATTATCCGGACACTTTTTTAGTTTTTTTTTTGCCAAACGGGTCTACTCCATTCAACTCGAAATTCAGATTCAGCACTTCACAATTCAGCTCCAGACAATAGTATTTGATTCAGACAATAGTCTCGAATTCAGACATTAGCCCCCAGCTCCAGCTCGTTGTGCCAAACATAGCCTTGGGCTAGTCTGATATATCTCGGTGTGGTCTAGTCTGTTATTATCGAAGTCTCATTTAGACTCGTTTGGTAACACTCAAATCGGATGAATCGACTAGTTCTGTTAAAATTTATGAAGTTCTGACACAAGTGGCTAGATGAGCTGATTCTGCTTATTTATGAATAAATTATATTTAAAATAAATTTTATTATTAAAATAAAGAAAAAATACATGAAAAATAGTTAAAATGACTTTCTATAATAATTTCAGCCAATACAATCAGAAAAGTAACTTCAATCTTATCAGAAAAGTCTGATAAACCGAAAAATGAAGTCACCTAAAGGACTCCTAGTCTAGACCTCCTTATTTTTTAAGTGTGATCTGATTTACTTTTTGCTTTACACCCCATCCCTGAGGGCCCCCAACCCGATCGACGATACGTTGGGAGGATGTAAATTGAACTATAATCCTAATCTGACAGATAGAGAGTGGAGCTCTGTCCCCGATACTTGCAGAGGCTCTATGCATTTTTACCGTAGTAACCCCTCATTGCAGTTGACACTTGACCGGATTCGAATGCGGAACCTAAGACACTTAGTAGTTCAGTTATCCCCACCGGTTCTAAGTTCCATTTCCGCGTCCACCGTCCACGGCTTCCTGGAGGACTTCGAATTCAAATTCCCTTCAACTCAGTTATAAGGAGCAGTAATCGGCCATGATCAATAGGCCTATGCTGCTTTTTTCATGTCTAAAACACAAGAAGATGCATACCTTCTGAGTGAGCACGTTTATTAAGTAGCTAGCAACTGCTCAATTTTACTGTAACCAACTTTTGCTGTTATCTTCCTTAACCAATCAGGACCTCCATGAATATCCCCTCTGTTCTTCTTCTCCTTTTTCTACTTCTGACGATTTTCAATGGTCTTAAAAGTGCCGCCCAAACATGTTCTCAGACCGCAGGAAACTTCACAGCCAACAGCACCTACGCCGCGAACAGAGCTCTCCTCTTCTCTGCCCTGTCCTCCAACATCAACTCAAGCTATGGCTTCTTCATGAATACCACAGTAGGCCGTGGCGCGGACAAAATCTACGGCACCGCCCTTTGCAGGGCTGATTCGTCCCCTGAAACGTGCACCAAATGCGTCAATACTGGAATTAAAGAACTCACAGATACCTGCCCAAACGAAATGGAAGCCATCACTTGGTCAACTGAGGGCACTTTTGCGTGTATCGTCCGGTATTCAAACCGTTCATTTGTCGGGGAATTGGACCTTTCTCCTATCACTCTAAGGATTAATAGGGATGAGTTCGCAGCGGATGAATTTGAAGAGTTTAAGCAGATATGGGCGAGTCATGTCTCGAGCTTAATTGCCAATGCTTCCAGGGAGACGAGGATCAAATATGCTTCCGGTGAAGTGTTTATACCGTCGATCTTTCGGGAAATATACGCCACAACGCAGTGCACTCCAGATCTATCTCGGTCTGATTGTGTCGAGTGTTTGAGTAGCGTTGCGAGAGATTATCGGCTTTGTTGCGGTAAAAACATGGGAGGGGCTTCCTATAATCCCAATTGCTTATTTCATTGGAATCTGTATTCCTTCTATAACACTTCCTTTACTGTAATCGATCCGCCTCCGCCGCCGTCGCCGCCTCCATCTCCGGCGTCTCTGCATTCTCCGCCGCCCCTCAATACAACCAATTCGGGAAGTATGAACTGGATCTCCTCATCTCCTATCCTGTTTAGATTTAAAATTTATAAAATTAAACGCTAGGGTATGGTATTCCACTAATCCGATCCGATTTCTTTTGGATGTACAGATGGGAAGAGCAGATTTCGGACTGTTTTGTATATTGTAGTGCCAATTGGATTAGCGTTGTTGATGGCGCTTGTTGCTATCGTCATTTTCCGGCAGAGGAAGCAGAAGTCTGGTGTATTGGTTTCAGAGGAAAATGAGTATAGTGGTGGGGCAGAGTGTCTGCAATTCAACCTTGCCACCATTAGAGCCGCGACTAACAACTTCTCCGATCACTACAAGCTTGGTGAAGGTGGGTTCGGCCCTGTTTATAAGGTAATTGTAATTCTGACTTTTAACGTTTTTAAAGAATGGTGACTTTTACCGTGCTATTTGGTATCATGATTTATGATGTTTTAAAGTTTTTCTGTTTCAGATTAGATCAAATCAGAATAGACTACATTTGAACAGTTATAAAATACACAAAGATTAGACATTTACTACTCTCTCTGTCCCGCTATGATTGTCTCATTTTTACTTTTTCGGGAAGTCTTACTAAGATTGTCTCATACCAAATTTGGTCAAGTTTGTGTAGCTCTAATTTATTCTTATTTTATTTTTACTTTATCAATTTTATATCAACCACACAAACTCACTTTTCTTAATAATCTTGTCATCTTCTCTTGTCCCAATCTTAATGGGATGGAGATAGTAGATCATATCAAATTTGAACATTTATAAAATACACAAACACCATACATTTACCAGTTCAGATCAGATCATACCAGATGACAAAATTTCCGTCCAAGTAAAAACATCCTTCATTTATCCCATTATCTCTTGGTAAGATTGAATCAGTGGAATTAAAAAATTAGTAAAATTTTGGTGGCGGATTTTAATTAAAATATGGCTAATAGTTATGTACTATTGTATTAGTCTTATAGTAATTTAAGTGTAAAAATTAAACATGAGTTAATATGACTAAGTTAATATTATAGTTAGTGCATTTAGGAAGACACATTTTTTCAAATCACATTTAATTCATTCATATAGATGTAATGATTTCATATGTAATAATAAACGTTTATGAAAAATAATTGAAATAGACGGCTTCAACAATTTCACCTAATTTGTCAGAAACGTAGCTCAAGTTTTACTGATTCTGATTCTTACATTATTTAGCGTCTGAAACAAAAGTTGCTTGTATGTGTAGAATTGAAAACACGCTTTTTTCCTCCATGAAATACTTTCCAATTTATTAGTACCTTTTCGTCCCACTAACATTGGAACGGAAGGAGTTGACACAGTTATTAAGAAAAGTTGATTTATGTGGTTTATATTGAATTGGTAAAGTGATCTAGAGCAACACAAAATTTACCAAATTTGATATGAGACAATTTTAGTGGGATTTCCCGAAAAGGTAAAATGGGACAATCTTAGCGGGACGGAGGGAGTACAAATTAAAAAAAAAATCAACTTAAAAAGTAGGCAAAGCAAAAAATTTAGCTAGAGTTAACAATTAAAGTAATTGTCAAAACAAGATTACCTTTACAACTCTTATAGTAGGGAAAAATAATTAAAATAACACAAACTTTTGAAGAGGTGTGAGATGAATAACCCAAACTTGCACATGTAATTTAAATACCCCAAACTTTATATAAAAAGTTATTTTAGCACCATTGTCATGTATTATTTCTTTCAAAAATGTAAATTTATGGTGTTAATTGCATAATTTAAAATATTTTAGAATTCATGAAGACACAATTAACATTTTAAACTTCCATTGCGAAATAAATAATGTTACCCCTAATCTATATAATTGGAACACTTTTAATTTGCTATTTCAAATTATGCAATTAACTCCATAAAATTACATTTTTGAAAGAAATAATACATGACAATGGTACGATGGTCTAATCCAATAAGATCTAATATCATTATATCATGTATATCTTACTATGGTTTAAGTCTACTTCGGTCTGATGACATTACATTTGTTTTTATTGGTTTAGCTTTGGGATTTGATTCAATCTAATTTATTAGGGAAATAAATCAAAGTCAAAAGATCTTTTACAATGTCCTCTCATTATTAGGGTGTGCTCTCAAACGGGGAGGTCATTGCTGTGAAGAGATTGTCCAAAAATTCAAACCAGGGAGAACTTGAATTTAAGAATGAGGTGAATTGCGTCGCAAGACTTCAACATCGAAACCTGGTCAGGCTTCTAGGCTTTTGCCTTGAAGGAACAGAAAGGCTTCTCATTTATGAGTTCCTTCCCAACTCAAGTCTTGACCATATGATATTTGGTTAGTATAGTTTTTTGAAACCTCTTAAGTGATGGACAAATATATTTTTCATTTGAATTTAAACCCTCAAATGACTGGTTGGTTGAGGATGACATTTTCATTTAATGTGTGTAGATGCAAACAAACGAAGAAGAATCGGTTGGGAGACTCGTCATAACATAATTGTGGGAATAACAAGGGGACTTATTTATCTTCATGAAGATTCTCAACTTCGAATCGTTCATCGTGATCTCAAAGCCAGTAATATTCTTTTGGATGACAATATGAATCCTAAAATCTCAGATTTTGGAATGGCAAGGTTATTGGAATCAGATGATCAAACAAGAGACGTCACTCATCGGATCGTCGGCACCTAGTAAGTTAAAAGATTCCAGTTTTATTCTCTGCTTTTGCGTTTCAATAAATTTTAGACTGCATTCACAAGAATTAGTGCCCATTATATTTCGTTACATGTTTTCCAATTTTATTAGCCAACTTTTATCATACATAAGTTTTTTGAAGTTCATGTACGCATTTGATAAATAATAAAAAACTAAATTACTAGAATTAGGTGCATTTTTGGGTGAGTAGACTGGATTGAATGACTGACAATGTAAACTGTTTCCATAAAATTAATTCGCTACATTATTAGTCACTCCATATAAAATAGTGCATCAGTTCGTATACCATGCAACCCTCCCACGGTGCTACTATCCCAAATTGGAGTGGGCTTTGTTATTTTTTATTTCTCATTTTCTTAGAAATAGTTTTAAGAAGAAGATCCAAACATCCTCTTATTATATTTAGTTTCAATTTGTCATAATTGAACTTTATCATATTTGTGTGAATTCAATAAATTAACCCTTTTTACCTACAACTTCAATAACTTTAGAAAATTAGTTGGTTCAACAAATATTAAGGCTACTAAAGAGATCTTAGTAAAGCTTATTTTGTTTAGCCTAGTTGCGAACAAATAATTGGTATAGGAACTCAACATACGTAGTACTTCATAAAGCAATTTACCAAACGACGAATTTTATTTGATTAACTCTAATTATGTTTTTTAACCAGAAATACCTCTTATTATATATATGGTCCACAACATACGTAAGTGGTCTAGACGATATATACTCTACGCGTAGTGTGCTCCTATAGCATATCACAATATTTGGTTTTTAATGCATGAATGAATCATAAAATGCAGTGGCTATATGGCTCCGGAATATGTTATACATGGTCAGTTCTCAAGTAAATCTGATGTTTATAGCTTCGGCGTGTTATTGCTTGAAATAATCACCGGTGAAAGGATTAAGAGCTTTAGTGGAGGGGAAGATGAACAAAGTCTTGTTGACTATGTAAGCTATGCAAAAAATTATGTATTTTACTTTCAATTTATTGTGTAAGTTAACTACATGTCTACATGCATGCATGCACACACACACGCGCACCCACACGCAGGGGCGGACCTAGGAAACTCATCTTGAGAAGACGAAAATATTTTTTTAGGGTTCAAAATACTTTCTGGGAGGGAGAAAATTATTTTTCATATATATATACACTAAAAAAAATTTGTTGAGGGGGGCGGTAGCACCCCGGGTCTCTACTACAGTACTACGGTCCGCCCCTGCCCACACGCATGCACCCACACACTCACAGACACACGTACACGCGCACGCGCACACGCACAAATACATACACACATAAACACACATACACACATACATAAGTGATTAATCAAATTTAAAATAATGTACTTTGCAGGCATGGAGCATGTGGAATAAAATGACACCGTTGGTTCTAATTGATTCCGCTATGCCATCGTTTAGTACTTTCACAAGCGATATAATAAGATGTATTCATATTGCGTTACTATGTGTGCAAGAAAATGTGGGAAGTAGACCAACCATGGCTTCGGTGGTTCTCATGCTTAGTAGCAGATCGGTTATTACATCAAGACCATCAAGACCCGCATACATTCTTCACTCCATGACGCAACAACATGCATCATCATCATCATCATCAAGTAGTAGCCATGTTGAAAGAAGTTCTCGGAATGAAGTATCTATATCAGAGCTAGAACCACGATAACCCTACACATCTCTCATTTTGTATAATTTAAATTAAAAAAAAAAAGATGAAAGGTTCTTAAAGACGTGAAACATGATAATTAATCATGTTGACGTTAAGCTTTTAGGTGGGGGGAGGGTATAGTGTTGTATTATTATGATTAGTTTTATTATTTTGCAGTAATCCTTACCTGAAATAAATAAATATCCACTTTTTATTTTAACAGGTTTTCACGTTTTCCTGTTCGGAGAACTGTAGGATCAAAACTAACAATAGCAAATTCCTAATATTAACGCAGAGCCGGCTTTAGGGGGGGTGGGCCTAGACAATATTCTAGGGCCCTACTTTTGAGAGGTGCTTCATTTTTTATTTATGTATTTGTAAAATAATAAAAATGTCAAGTATTTAGGTGAGAAATCCTATGCGTAAAGATATGTTGTTAAAAATTATGGTAAACTATAGTATAAAATTAGAATCATTATGCTTTTATTTAATATTATAAAGATTTAAATATATTTTTAGTCCCCGAAAATATAATACATATTGTTTTACATCCCTGCATTTTTTTTTCATTTCCTGAAATTTATGTTGGTTTTCTTTTTAGTCCATCACCGTTGCTAACAACATCCGTTTGACCTCACAAGAATCCCGACAAATAGATTTCTTCTAATTTTTTCATGTTATTCAAAATGTATTAAATTTTAATTTTTAGAAGGTTTTAATATATATTTTAAAAATGTGAATAATTAGTTTTGCATTGTTTTAATTCTCAATTACCCTCAAAAAAGTTATAAAATGTTAAATTTAAATATTTCTAGTTGATTTGCGCAATTGACAATAACTTTTTTTAAAGTAGAATGATTTTGGAGTTAGTGATGGACTAAACACAAAATAGTACATATCACACGGGTGAAAAAAATTACAAGAACCTAAAACAAAGTGTGTTATATTTGCAAGGATTAAAAACGTATTAAGCCTATTATAAACTAATTTATAATAATAATTGATCATAATTTAAATAATGTGAAATTGCTATGGTACTTTAAATTAAAATATCATTAACTATTGTTTATAATTTATAATGAACGACTTTAATGTACGAATTATATATGGGTGACACTCCATTGCACGAGCATTTAAATATTATTGTAACCCATACTTCTTTAAGGTATGGAGTTTAATAATTTTATAAATGAAAAAAAGACATAATTTTTTAATGAGATAATTGAATGTTTAAATAAAATTAGTAACACAGGTATCATTAAAAATAGTTAGTCAACTTAAAAGAAAAAAATCATTATAATTTTGTCTTTATTTTTTGGGAGCTAGACTAGTTATATTGCCCCGGCTCATTATTTGACGGGCCTTGGCCTAGGGCCACAAACGCGGTGAAATCAAATGGTACGGTCTAACAAATACTCCCTCCCTCCCTTAAAATTTTGACAAAGTTGACCGGCACGGAGAATAATAAAGTTGAAACTATGTGTTAGATGTTTGTGTAGAGGAGAGAGAGAAATAACAGAAACCACAAAATAATTGATTAAAAGGGAAAGTGTCAAAGTTTTTTGGGTCGTCCCAAAAAGGAAAGATGACAAAGTTTTAAGGGACGAAGGGGGAAGTAGTGTTTTTTAAAGGAAAACGACTATTTTGATATCATTAGAATCAGGATCCTTACAACAATCTTAAAATGACTAGATCTGACAACAACCTTCACCTTCCAACTACTACTTTTAGCCTTACGATCAGACATAGAGACGACCACCCCTAAAGGAGCAATACGAAGTGCTAACCACGAGACGGGCTTAATGCACCTATTACTGAAAAAATAGATCTGTCTCCCACTAACAATATCAAATCTAGCCGAACCCTCGATCAATGTAAAAAACCTATCACCATAAGCAAATACCAAAAGCAAAACGATAACAACGAATTTCTTCGAAAATAGACTAAAAATGGGGACAATGAATTTAAGCAGGATGAACTTATTTAGCCGTTGAACCCAATCTTCCAGCACGGTGTTCCGACCCCTAATCACCCATTTCCAGCATGGCGGCGGTTCAGGAGGGGGGCAGATCTTCATCCCTTCATCTTCTTCCTTCAACACCCTGATCTGCCCGTGATTCGCCTCCATCTCTTGGCCAACATACCGCATGAGCACAATCAGTCCAAACGCGAACAGTGTCCATATCCCTATCATCTCCCCTGTGGTGCAATTGAGATTCGCCAAGACCCTACGATCCTGAATGCTCCCACGCCCCACCCTGTGCTCCAGATGAGGAAAACTAGCTAGCAAAATTCTGGGACACTAAAGCGCCAAGAAAGCTATAGCGCCGCCCACCAAAACCTAGACTTGCTAGGACCGCCGCCGCCGGGAACCTAACCCCTTCGCCGCTCCAAAGCGATGAGGGAAACCTCGATGCTATCTCTGGATACGGAGAGGTTTCGTCTAACAAATAGTGTTAATATTAGGAAATTAAATATATGCTCGCATTTGTGTCTAATATAAAAGTAACCACATTAAATGTGCATTAGATTCGATCAATATCCATATATAGAGCCAACTATTAAATTTGTGAGACCTTATATAGGTCAAGTTGCATGTAGCTCAAGCAGACAAGGTTAAGTAGATATGTCTGAATGCAAGTCTGAATGCATTAGAAGATATGTCTCCAAAAAAATTGAAGATGTTCCAAGGCTAAGAAGACTAAGATTAATTGCTGGTAGCTTAAATATGTCAAGCCCAGCATCCAAATTTGAAAAGGGCTACTACATCTATGTCTTTAGATAGTTTAATTTGTTGGTTTCTATGAAACATCTATCCTAGAAATTTGTACGATGTGAATGATTTAATATTTACAATGAGTTATTATTTTTTATCAGAATTTGGAATCTATAATTGTATATTTTTGGATGAGTAAAAGACCTTGCAAAATAATCAAAGGAAATATAAAACCAGTTTCTATTGAAAGGGTATATATGATATTTTACTTTCGCGAATGACTAGTGGTCGCAATTGCTCTTAAAAAGCAGTACATAATAGTATCATCAGCTACTATATTTTATTTGGTCACAAAATGTATTAGAATCCGACAACATTTTCCAGTTGCAAATTGTCTTTTACAGCGACGTCAATAGGGACGGACACACGATCACATTTTTTGGTCTCAAATAACCATTAGCGACTGTTTTTTAGTTAATTTTTGTGACCAATTTTCCCTTCGCAAATAGGCCTTTTTATTGTAGTGTTGCTTAAAGAGATATTAAATTTTTTTAGAAGTTTTAAGAGAAGTATAGAATTTTCTAAAAATTTTCTAAAAAATGTAGAGTAGTGTGAAATTTTCTAAAAACTTGTGAAAGAGTGATGAAATCGTAAGGAATAATATCGAGATGTGTAGAACTTTCTACAACCTAATGGAAGAGTATTGATGGAGTATATGGGTCCAAGCCACATGACCCACATACTCAGAAGAACAGAAAGCACAGCCACCACGTGGCGCCCTCGTCGGCCAGAAGACCCTCGACGGCCAGAGAGGGACCAACTCAGAATATGGCCCTGAAGCCAGGGAACCAGGGTGTCCTCGTCGGCCGCGCCCTCGTCGGCCGCGCCCTCGTCGGCCACGGAAGTCTCACAGAACTGGATTTTACACTTATTCATTTGTATAGTCCATTAGTGGCTTTGTATTCGGCCCAATAGCGGTCCAGTTGTAAATGGGCCTCCCAAGCCCAAGGCTTGGGAGCCCAGCCCGTATTTTCCCTATAAATACTTCCTCTGGAGGTAGTTATCAGGGTTACAAAATCATCTTATTGAAGCATATATTGCACTTCTCTCTCTAGCTCTCACTTCTCTCTAGATATACTCTATCATTTGGTGCTCTCGTTGAGAGCTAGAACAATCAAGTTAGCACCCTTCGTCGCTACCAAGCACATCTAACCACTGATCATGGGAAGAACTAAGTCAAACCGCAACCTCGTTAGCAAGGCCATCCCTGAGGACCAGGAGACCAGGAAGCACGAGGAGGATGCTACGGCCGACCAGGTCGGCGGAGGGGACGTCTTCCAGGAGGCCATCAACCTCACGACGGACCTCCGCAACCAACTCAACGGCGGAGCCCCTGATGCCCGCATCGGCTTGGACAAGAAACGAGCTGAGAAGACAGACCACGCCCCGGCCCAGCCTATGGCCGCGGCCTCTCCGTCTGTGGATCCACAGGTCCAGGCCGCGCTGTCGGTCATCATCGCCAGCTTGGCCCAGAACCCCACCGTCCTTAGCGCTCTCTTGCCAAAGACCGGGGGGAACGTCACTCCACCTCCTCAGCCCCAACCGTTGGCCGTCCAGATAGGCAACGATGAGGGGGTGATGGCCCAGGACACGGCGTCGTCCCACTCCCACCCCGCTTCCCCTCTTCGGCCTGGGCAGACCCCAGCGCGTGGAAAAGCCTCTGCCTTCAATAGGCTAGGTGACACGCGCCGTCGTCCGGTTTCGGAGAGGATGGCAGGGCGGATTGGAGAGCGTCGACCTGGCTCGCCAAGGGAAAGCTTGGGGTCTGTGTCCCGGACAGCGGACCAGCCCCGCCTGGACAAAGGCAAGGGGAAGTTGCACGAGGACGACGTGCGCCACCAGATCAATGCAGCCCACGACGAGCGCATGAGAAACCAGCAGGGCGCCGCTGCGGCCGCCAGGGACCCCCAGGACGAGGTCATCGCCCAGCTGGAGAGGAGGCTGGCCCAGATGAAGGCCAGGCAATCGGCGAACACGCCCACGGCCGGCGCCTCCAACGACCCTGGCCTCAACGCTCTCATGAACAAGGTCAGCGTCCTGGAAAGGGAGTTGGCCGAAGGACGAGGTGACCCCGTCATCCAGGTCAAGACCAGGACCCCTTTCACCAACAGGGTGCTCTCGGCCCCCATCCCGGAGAAGTACAGGGGAAACGCCATCAAGTCCTACGATGGCCGATCAGACCCCCAGGAACACTTCAGCCGTTATCAGAACAGCATGCTGATGTGAACGCGTCAGATGAATACCTCTGCCGTTGGTTCCTCTCTACTCTTGAGGGGCCAGCGTATGAGTGGTTCAACGCGCTCCCTGAAGGAAGTATTGACTCATGGTAGGACCTTGCCCAACGCTTCCTCACCCACTTTGCCGGGAGGAAGCGCGCGAAGAAGTATTTCACCCATCTCCTCTCCGTCAAGCAGCAACATGATGAGTCCCTC